GAGCAACTTTATTGACACGCACCCACAGAAGCAGCGTTCGCCTCGCTGTCTTTTTATCCAAAACGGACGGAAAACCTTGTCGACCTCAGGTGACAGTTGGTGTGATCCATACGCCACATGTAAATAACGTCTCACTCAAGTTTGTAAATGAACTGTTTGCTTATTCTTCTCAATTTCTACATTTTAAATGTTTTTGTTTCACTCCCCCCGGCACGTCCCGGACCAAAACTCGTATAATCTCGCGGGATGTGAAGGTCTTCCCCTCGTAACGGGCTCGAGGTCTCCTAGCAACGGCAAACAAACTGCACCGCTCGCGCCTCCGAGCCGGAAGGGGAGAATCGGGATGGCTGGCGTCGGAGCAGGGCAGTCGCTGGACGTGGAGGACGGACCGTACTATCTGGAGAAGGTTTCGATACCCGAGGACTCTGAGGACGACTATCAGTATGAAGAAGTCGCCGCCGACGACGAGTGGAGCCTCACGGAGGGGGAGGAGGACCTGGAAGCCGCAGTGAGGGCCCTGTGTGAACAGACAGAAGGCCCGCAGACCGTGCCCAAGACCAGCCCCTCAGCTCTGCAGTCCCTCTCTCGGAAACCAGAGGTGGTGGATGACTTCCTCCGCAATTTCCTGATAAAGATGGGCATGAGGAAAACCCTAGACTGCTTCCAGACGGAGTGGTACGAAATGGAGCAGAGAGGCCTGCTGAACGCAGAGCAGGTGGGGTTCGTGCCTGACGCGTACACCCACAACCAGCTTCTGGGCAATCGGATCAAGAGCTTGGAGAAGGAGAGGGAGAGTTACAGACAGGCGGCCTTCAAAGCCGGGGAAGCCCTGGTGAAGCTCCAGAAGGAGAGGGATTTTCACCGCATGCAGCACAAGCGCGTGGTTCAGGAGAAGAACCGGCTGACCGAGGACTTGAGAAGACTCAAGAAGCACTACGCCTCGTATGAGCCGGCACTGAGGCAGCTGAAGGACAAGTACCAGGCTGCCCTGAAGCAGAAGATGCTCATCGGTTTGGAAAGGGACAGGGTGGTCGGCCAGATCTCTGGCCTGGAGGCCACACTGCGCAATGTGCAGTCAGAAAGGGATGTTCTTCCTCGGAGAGTGACGATGACTCAGAAGTCCAGCAAGGACACAAGTGTCCTTCGCGGCCGATCTAAGCGGAGCCCAGACAGAGAGCCCAGGCAGCCCGTGGATGGGGTCGCGCCGTATGACTCTG